GCGGGACAGGGTGTGCTCCTGTGCTGGTTTTTAAGCTTCCCTGCGTATAAACACGGTCAGGCACTACCTCCTTAATATTGTCTCTGATGAAGTTCTGAGTTTACTTTTAGAAGGTCCTTCTGACACTGATGAAGACTCTCTCCTCACACTAACGTCAACCTCTCCCAAGACTTTTCTGACCAAATCACACATTAGTTTCCCGACTTTGAGGAGTCCAGATTGGTCAAGATGAACAATCCTGCAAATCATATTAGAGAAAATCCCCCGCACATGGTATTTTATTGCCCTGTCTGCCTTCAGCAAAGACTCTAAAGGTAAGGAGCACCCTTACCCTGATATTTTCTCTCTACTGACAACAAATCCCTGTATTTCCTGGTTGAAGTCAGAACTGAACTCAATTAATTGCTCTTCCTAGGACAAGACTTCACTGTAGCTGGCGGTCGCGGCACCTGTACAGTCCCTCTTGAACAGAATTGCTCTACTGTGTTAAAGAAGCATTCACGGAGGAAGAGGTGGAGCTCAGAGGCACAGCTCCTTGTGCTATGTACAAGGCCCTGGGATGAAAAACTTTTAAAGTAAAAGCATCATGGATAGGCTTTCTTCTTTAACATTTCATCACACTGTTAAGGTAGATGACAGGAACATACAAATCAAACATTTAGGTAACTAGAAAGTCCAGGAAGCACTAAGGATAAACCAATCCTTTGGCATGCTCTCATCTCTTGTTGGGGAGCTGTCAGAGGATAACTGGCCCCTCTATCTTGTTACTGGAATATACTTACTAAGTCTCTGAGCAGCAACCGTCTCAAAGTTGAAGGACTGCTATCACCAACTCTTCTAGACAAAACCCTCAGAAACAATTCTGGGGGAAAGAAGCAATGCCAATCGTGTTGTGGTGTACAAAGTTAGATATGTTCTTCAACACAGACTAAGCCACAGAGGCCACAAATCCAGGATGGTGAGGATAAAGACTAATGTCCCAGCTCAAATAAACAGACATAAAAATTGCAGGGAAAAATCTTTAAAATAAATCTGACTATAAAAATGAACCAACCCAAAAAATTTAAATAGAACTAAGGAAATCTATCTACTTTAATCCCTGAAATTTTAAGACTGAGCCTCACCGTACGTAGCATGCAACCACATCTCCAAACGAGGGGCCTCTGGTTCAGGGCTCTTTTCCCACCCCAGGGGAACCTAAACGCCTTTCTTAGGTATTCTAAGAACAATGTTCCATTTAATGGCCAGTGTACATCTGTTCAAGGCCTAGCTTCCAGCCTGATGCTTGTGGACATCTCAAAAGCCAGCTTCAAACTGACTGCAACAAGACACAAAAAGAAGGTTCTTATTGTAAAAAACTTTTATTTGCATTTGGATTTTGAAAAAAGAGATGAGAGTGGGAGAAGGAAGCACACACAGTTCACATCCCTGAAAGACTCTTGAGCGGCAGAACTGCTTCTGAGCTGGGGGGGAGGGAGCGGGGGGGGGGCGCGGGAGGGTAGCAGCGGTGCGGTGGTAAAGAGCTTGCTGAGTCACAGAGTGGAGACAGGCAGTCAAATGCCCCAGTGGCTGTCACTGTCAGCATGACCATTCACTAGGAAATTCAGCTGTTTTGTGGAAAATTAGCTGAACAAAATGAGAAAATTAGTAAGAGGCCACAAAACAGCCTGTTTTAATAAAACACTGACTATAATCAGAAGTAGAAGCAGATGAACTGAGGAAAGCCACATCCTATTTGGAAACAAGATACAGAAAGAACTTGCCCCACGTGTGAGCTCAAATTTCCCCACCTGTAAAGTGGTCTTAATGCTTTCTGATTTTAAAAAGTTTAAGCCATTGGTTAAAAGGCCTTTTGTGTTAGACAATAAAGCAACTAATTTACAAAAGAAATTTTTCTTTCATTTATAGCAATTTGTAAGAGGCGCTACAAAGAAAAAGCTCACTTAAGTTTGATTAAGCATGTTAGATCTGAGTTGGCCTCAAATAACTTTTACTGTGTTGTAGGAAACTTATGGTTTCACTGGGGATGCGGTGTGGAAGGAGGTTGTTTAGAGGGAGGGGCAGAGGGAATTAAGAAAGGAGCAAGGTGAACAAAGGAGGATGTTTCGACTCTGGGACTAGTTCCTCCAGGAATCTTACCCTGCCAAGCTGCAGGGCAGTTTTTAAAGACGTGGAGCACATCTTGTTCAACTCCAACACAGAGCAGGTAACGCTCGCTGACAGATGTTTCTTGACAGCAGTGCTTTAGGCATTAAGTCACAGGCCTCAAGCTCAGCCCAGGAAAAACTGCTCAAATGTTCAAGGAAAGGACGACCACACCAGGAAATGCACTCTGCCCTTGTCCTTCTTTCTAATCACTGCACTCTGCCCATTCTCTCCTCTCTCACTGATCTGGCTGAGCTTCTAAACAAAATCCATTAAAGCACAACACTAAAGGAAAAAGCAGAAGGCAGACACTCCTGGACTTGGAAGGCAGTGTTGGGGAAATGTCAAAAGCTGTCAGTTCTGAGTAGCATGCAGCTCTCCTCGGGATCAAGTTGATGATTCTCAAAGATAGGGTAGTGTCTACTCCTAAATTAGTTGTTGACGGTTCTCTGGATCATTTAACACCTCACTAGCAAGTCTTTTACTGGATTAATTCAAACAGTTCAAGACTAATTTTAATTAAACTTCAACCTACTCAAGTCTCTTTTACACTAGTAAGAGATTTATCTAGGTTCTTTAGAAACTAAATGCAGACAGTGTTTTCTTTCTGTAAAGTGACTTCTGGAATCATTGTAAAAGCTTCCTGTTACATGTACTTTTGGAGTTTACTTTATCTCTGACTTGGTCATACTGGTAGCATTCAACTACACAAGCAATGTACTGTATAGAAAGCACTATATTATTTTACATCCAAGTGCAGTTCTGAATTTTTTTTTTAAATCTCTTAGTTGATTTTTCTAAATATTTTACTTTAATAAAAAGATATTGGAGCTAAAATCCACCACAGAATATGGTCAGTGATGCATGAAGGACAAGCTAGCTTTCCAAGTGTCTGGTGGACTTTTCGGAACTTCCTAGGCTCTCATTTTTTTCACCTACCAGCCTGTCATAACTTGAATTTTTCAAATGACACTTTACAATATACACTCTTCCCACTTGTGCAAGCACTGAGGTCAACAGGCCTTAGTGTGGCATTTCCTTTTACTGTAAAGACTGCCTTTGCACTGAGGCTCCTGCATCTTCATGGGAATTTCTACATGCCACAAGGTATGCTGAAACAGACAGGTGCCAAGTCTTCTGAGGAAGGGCCGAAATATGATGCATTTGCTCTCCACAGCTTCCTCCTCCTCAGACTAATGCCCAGCTGACATCAGCTCTGGTGGTGTGCAAGGAAGGCTCATGATAGTATGCTTAGATTCAACTAAATCACTTAAAAGTTTCATTACCACAGCAAGCATGGCAAGCCTTCCAATGGTCAGTGAAGAAGCTGACAGATGATCCCTGTCCCCACTCATCTCAGTCCTCTAGCACTGGAACCTTCTAAGCTGATCCCAGTCCCAGACACTGTGAAGCACAATTAATAAACCTTTTTCTTTCTTGCTTGCTTTTTTTTTTAAAGATTTATTAATTATGTATTCTGTCTGCAAGTCTGCTACAGGCCAGAAGAGGACACCAGATCTCATTACAGATGGTTGTGAGACACCATGTGGTTACTGGGAATTGAACTCAGGACCTCTGGAAGAGCAGTCAGTGCTCTTAACCTCTCAGCCATCTCTCCAGCCCATAAACCTTTTTCTTGAACAGACAAATTCATAAAACTGAAGCTGACAACATTATTTCCAAAAGTCTCTCCATAGAGATAACAGGATCACAAATATAGAATCAGTTTTGACTTTAGAAAAGTCTTAGTCAAAACCAGCTATCCTACTTAACTGTTTCCAATGCAGGCTCTAGCCCATCTATAGTACCATGTATTAGAGTGGAGAAACCACGGCTGAGGATGTGAAATCTGCCAGAGCCACAATGCCTCAGAAACAGCACGAGAGCAAGTTAAATTAAGTTGCTGTCATACTGCTAGTAGAAAAACATTTTTACTTTTATTTGTTTTTGTTTATGAGCTAGGCCTCAAAATATTTAGCTGAGGATGACCTTGGACAATTAATTTTCTTGTTTCCACCTCCCAAGTGCCAGGATTACAGACTTGTGTCACATGTCCCACCCCTGAAAAGACTTTTAAAAGTAAAAACAGCAAAAACAAATTACCCTCCTTTCATAGTAACTGGTCAACACTGCCCTCTGGTGATACAAATTAATAAACCAGACAACATCTTTTATTGCTCATTTCAAATACATTTAAGTAACTGCAGCTCTTTTGAATGCACATCTCATTTGAAAAGGTTTTTTTCTTTTTTAATTTATTTGTTATGCATACAATGTGCTGTTGACCTGTATGCCTACATGTTAGAAGAGGGAACCAGATCTCATTATAAATGGTTGTGAACCACCATGTAGTTGCTGGGAATTGAACTCAGGTCCTCTGGAAGAGCAGCCAGTGCTCTTAACCTGAGCCATCTCTCCAGCCCTCTTAAAAAGGTTTTAAATCAAGGACATTTACTCTGGAAACATGCTACTGATGATGATACACACATTTCCACATAAAAAGATGTGATTAAGAAAGACCCTGAAGGCAAATGTCCTAAATTAAAAGCACTGTAGGACAGCAAGAAAAAGTCTCATCGCATGTAAATCAGGCATGGCAGTGGGGGTGCACACCTCTAACCCCAGCATTTGGGAGGCAGAGGCTGTGAATTCAAGGCAGCCAGAGCTACAAAGAGAGAATAAACAAAAATTCCACAGGAGGGAGCCAGTATAGTTCTCAAGGTGTGTGTCTTTAATACACTTAAAAGGGTCTACGGAAACCAAAGCCCATTGAAAGCCTGACTCCTTATTTAGAAAAAAATCTCAACCAAAAGAACACAGTTGGCTGCTAAGTTTTTACTAAGCCAAAGACCTACCAAGGCTGGTGCCATCCTGCCCCATGATGCACTTCATGGAGGTGATGATCTGCTCCATCACAGGTGGGGACATCGACGTGGCATACACAGCACTGTGAGAATGTGTGCGCAGGTAGTCTATCAGTGCCTGTGGAAGCAGAGGCAGATATTTAGAGGCAGGTCCTGAGCACACAGTATGCAAGCACCTTCCTTCTAGGTGCTATTGGACTCTTTCATTCAAAAGCCTGCAATAGGACGCTAAACAGAGATTCAAGGTCAACTAACACCATCAGAGCTCACAACTGGCCAACAAAGATGTCAGACACAGCAAAGTCTTGGGTTTTGGTTTTCAAATTCATTTTTAAAGGATCACTCTAAAGTCAAAGAACATATCATTTAATGTTATGAATTAAGAGCGCAAAATTGCTTTTTGAGGTATAATAATTTACTTCTAAGTGTCATTTGTGTCTCATCCTATACATTTACAGACCATCTTTATATTCCTAAATAACAATTTTCCTGGGCTGGGAGTGCGTCATTCAGTGGTGTAGAAACACTAGGCAGGTGTGAGGTTCCTCAGTTCAATCTGTAGTATTCCGCCCCTCCCAATATTCTTTGGAAGGAGATTCACAAATTGATACATAAATTGGTAGAACTTCATTATGTCTTTCATTAGAATATTACCACTGAGTAAAATACATTTTAATCATCCTCGTCAGGATGATTAAAAAAAAACACAACTGATTTTATATCAGTTTCAATTGCTTTCCTGTACCTTTTACTATCATTTAAGTCTTTAATTAAGGCTTATTTTATGTATGTGAGGTTTTTGCCTGCACATGTGTATGTGTATGTGTGAGAAGCCTATACATTCTGAACCCAGATCCTCTCCAAGAACAACAGGTACTCTCAGCTGCTAAGCCACTCCCTAGATTCTCATTTAAATCTTTTGTTTTATTTTGTTTTGTTTTTTCAAGACACAGTTTCTCTGTGTAGCCCTAACTGTCCTGGAATTCAATCTGTATAACAGGCTGGCCTCAAACTCAAGAGATCACTCTGTTTCTGCCTCCTAAATGCTGGGATTAAAGTCATGCACCTCCACCACACAGATTAAATCTTTAAAAATAAAATATGCACAAGAATCTGTTGTGTGATGGCACATGCCTATCACCCTAATCTCTGGACGATGAGGCAGGAGGATTGCAAGTCTAAGGCTAATCTGGGCTACAAAGTGAGACAATGTCTTAAGTAAAGAGGGATGATCAGTAGCATATACTAAAACCAAATAAATAGTAAAATAGTCTGCTGCTTCTAAAACTCTCAAAATTGTACCTCAAAGCACAAATATGTCATATCAATTCTTAAATGATACCCTATATGATTTATTATCTTTAATTCATAGCAATATATATTTACCAGTTAACTTCTAAAGTAAGCTTTGTCTCATTAGCAACTGAAAATGGGTCTTTCTAATGGCAATCAATTATCGATGTCTTTATTTTGTCACCAATGTCCAATCTGGAGTGGACAGATATTTGTTTAAGCCTTCCCAGGAAAAGTCATACAACTTTTAGAGGTATGTACAACTCTACCAGAATTTACCTGAACAACTCCAAGTTGTTAGACTGAGGCCAATGGCTAGTAAGAATAGAAGTGTATTTTGTGAGGACTATGGATAATGCCTGCAAAAATATACCATGCACAATCCAAGCTGAAGTGTTCACAAGTATTACGCAACGTTTCGTACAGTAAATGGCTTTTCTACACACACTTCACCTCACAGTAAGAGTGGCACAGACACCTAAACAGAAGAGAGCACTGACACCAGTGGTCAGGAGGCAGAGGCAGGCGGCTCCCTGAGGAGTAAGAAGTCCACAGTGTAAGTTCCAGGACAGCAGGGCTACAGAGAAAAACCCCGTTTTGAAAAAACAAAAATAAACAAATAAGGTGGTCACACATTTTCCTGACTTAAAGCCTTCCACAAGTTCTTGATCAGATCACCCTACAAAGTCTACCTAAGGTTCTGCTTCTGGGCTGACCTGACTGGTCTAATTCATTCTATCCACCTGTAGGTATTGAACAATGTGATGCTATAGAAGAACAGAACCTGGCATTAGGTCAGATTCCTCTCTACTGTGTGGCTTCTTATAACACCATCTTTCATGCAAATAGGTCCATAACTTCTGGGTCCATCCCACTCATCAGAATTTCCAGTGTTTCCTCTGATCACCTAACTCTGGCGAACACAAAGCGTACAAGTAAATGTGTCAGAACCTATGCAGCCCATAATCCAATTGAGAAAACTGTACTATGAAATCTACTATGATGTAGGTCTCCTGACGAGGTTTCATGAAACTTTCTGAATTGAGTGATCATCAAGAGGAGATCTGGCTGATACCACATGCCTTCAAAACAAAGCATTTCTTACAGATAAACAAGCTATTTTCAATGAATACACAGACTTCTTGCTTCCTGCTTGTTTGTTTGTGCTGCTATTAGCACCACATATCCTTCCAAGGTCATTTTGTTTATGACCTGGGGTGGCACAAGGACCCTCAGGTTCCTGGTCTATGCTGCACTGCTGTCTGAACCAAACCCCCAGTAGTTTCCATGTTCCTTCAAAAAATATTTAGTTTCTATTAGCACGAGTCTAGTGAACAACCATCAATCACAGAAAATTAAACTAAATCTGTTTTCCTATGGATGCTTCTGTGGGTTGTTGGAGTTTTGTTACAAAACTTCAGGTTCCTCTAGCTACGATTTTATGTTAACTTTTAAAAAAGATTAATAAAAAATATCCTTGTCTTTGTTACTGTTGTGAGTTAATGCTGAACATGTGTCTGTTGGAAGCAGAGGCAAATATAGTTCCCTCTCTTGTCAGACAAGGTGGTAGCCCTGGGCTTTCCCATTAGGGTAGGGCAAGCTCTGGTTAAGGACGATAGCCACACTGCATACACTGAGAATGACTGTTCTTTAAGGCTCTAGTTTAGTTTTAAGAAGACATTCAGAACATTTATGAGCATTTACTAGTGTGATGCTTGGCATACATTTCTTAATGGCATTACAACAAGTTTTTCTTTTTTCTGTCCGAGAGTCAAACTGAGGTCAGAATACATGCCAGGCCAGTTCTTTACTACTGAACTACAGGCCTGACCCAAGTTCTTCTTTAAGTCATAGCTTTATGGAAATATAAGCCACATTCCACCAGAGTCACCTCTGTAAAGTGTACAATTCAATGGATTTTAGCATAGTCAGAGTGGTGCAGCCCTTACCATTACCTAATTTTAGAACATTTTCATAACCCAACAAGGCAACATCATATCCATCAAAAATTACTTTCCATTTCCCCATCTCCTTAACCCATGGCAACTACTAATCTACATTCTGTTTCCATACCTATTCTAGATAAACAAACACACACGCACACAAAAGAAAAGAAAACCAACATAAAATATGGCCTTTTGTGACTGACTTAGGTTAACATGTTCACAAAGTACATCTGTGCTGCAGCACAGGCACACGTCATTTTAAGCCAGTATCACATTACAAATCCCCCCTCCATTTACTTTTACTGATAAGAAAACCAAAAAGTCGAAAATGCTTTCCCCTAGGTCTTACAGGGTAAAAACACATTCAAATGCAGACAGTGTCCATCATTTTGTATGGATTCTTAACTGCCTTACAGCTCATACATAATTTTAAAGTTGAATAGATGCTTTACAGTGTATTACAGCTAACAAAACCATCTCTTTTTGTTTGTGCGTTCCGATCTTCCATTTTTGTTGACTCCTGTGACAACCCTTTGAAAGTGTGAGCACAACTCAAACCCAACAGAAGACTGTGGCAAACAGGAAGCACCACTGTGCGCTCTCTTACAAAAGAGTGTTCTATCTCTCAGACCAGAATGTAGGGTAGAAAGAAGCTCCAATGAGCACACAACAAACAATGAACAGAACCAGCCTTCAGCCCAGCAAGCAACATCAGAGCCACTCCCCAGGCTGAAGTAGGAAGTCCACCAGCACTAGAACATGAGCCACAGCCCATTCAGGAGCCCCACAGGACCCACCAACTAGACAGTTTCCAAATCAACAGCCTTTCTTGATCTCTAATCGGCCATCTAAAGGCATGCTTTACCTTCTTGCCTCCAATGTATCCTCCAGAAGCACCGAAGCTCTTTGTGAACGTTCCCATCATAACATCTACATCCTCGGGATCCAGGCCAAAGTAGTCTACCACACCTCGCCCTGAAGGACCAAGGGCCCCAATGCTGTGTGCCTCATCCAGATACAAGTACGCCTTGTACTTCTTCTTGAGAGCAATCACTTCAGGAAGGCGAACAATAGACCCTTCCATGCTGGCAAAACAGGGTTAAAAAAAACACAAACACTGAGACTTTTTAACTCTTAAAATTAGCAACTGGCCACTTTATTTTTAATGTTTTGAGGTTATTGCTTTTCAAAATAAATCTGAAAGTTCCACCTCTGGTTTAAAACCAAGTTATGCGGTACACTGACTGGGCAGGAAACAGGAGGCTGACTTCTCAAAAGTAAGTTCCGCACTGTAACTGATTTTATTTCAAAACAGAAAGAATTAAAGTTACAGCAGATTATTTCTATTTGCTTTTGTGGGGCTAGGGATTAAAGCTGGGGCCTTGCATATGCTAAGAAAGCATTTTACCACTGGGCCACATCCCCCCCACAAGAGTCTAAAACTTGCAATTACAAGTAACATTAGACTTTGGATTCATTGTACATGCCTTGAGTTCCTGCCCAGGGACTCCTTCAGTGGACTGTGGCCTAGGATATGTCTTTTTTATCAAAGTTGTTTTTGGTCATGCTCTGTATCACAGCAATAGAAATCTAAGATAGGTTGTCCAAATTAACAAAAGAAAAAAATCTTAAAATTAAAATACAACCTGGTATGGGGGCATATGCATGTAAATCCCAGCACCCAAGAGGCAGAGGCAGAAGCAGAATTAGGAGTTTAAGGTCAGTGTGGGCCACATGAGAACATCTCTCATAAAATAACAAAAAGTAATGTATTTTTAGTTATTTTGAAGTTAGTTTTTGTTGCTGGAGATTGAACCCAGGTTCTCGTGTATGCTAGAGCATAGCCACTGTGGTAGAGTGCTGGAGTTACAGGTATGTACCAACACTTCTAGCTTTGTCATTTGTTTTTGATAAATTACAATCTTTTATACATAAGCTTTCATAAAAAGTTGAAAAATAACTTTGATAGAAGAAGGATCTGAAAGCTGTGTACCATACAGACTTAAAGACCTTTGGGCTTAGTGCCTCCTGTTCTCAGGTATTTTTAACAAGTCATGAGCACTGTCTCCTTAGTTACATGACTTTACAGGCCGAGATCATAGGTAAGCGCAGTAGAGCAAGAGTACCTATATATGCCTTCCACAAGGATTAGGATTTTCTTCCAGGGCCTTCTTGTCCGAGGCTGACCATAAACAATGGCATCTTTCAAAAGCTTCTCCAAGCTTTGCATATCTATGGCACAAAGAAAGAATTCAGTCCCCAAGTGCTTTTTTTCTAACAGTAACAGAAAAATGAGAATATACATTTCTTATTTAGAAGTGTCTCAGATAGCAAAGGATATTAGCATAATTAAAGCTGAACAGAAAAGATGTTGATATTGCTTCATTAACTGACATCTAAATGTGACAAATGTTCAAAGCAATCAACAAAATTAAATGACTGGTAATTGATTGCTTTAGATGGTTAGATAGAAAATCTCTGCCTTTGAATTAGCTTTTCTGTATTTTTAAAATCAAACTTCATCTTTAAGTGATTCATTCAGAAATAAATCTATAAAGACAAAACAAGAGTATGTAAATCACCCCAAATATATGTTTCTTCTAAAAAGCAAATATGTATGGACCTAGAGAGACTGCTCAAGGTTTTAAAGCACTTGTTGCTCTTGGAGAGGACCCAGGTTTGAGTCCTAGTATCCACAGGGTATTCATAACCACCCACACGTCCAATTCCAGGGGATCCAATGCCCTCTTCTGACCTCTGTGAGTACCAAGCAAGCATGTACATGCAGGCAAAACACTCATACATAAAACAAAATAAATATATCTTTAAAAATAAAAAGTAAACATGGAGAACAAACTTCAAAGTGCATGATCTATTTTCTTTTACCCAGGATGCATTCAATAGCTGCTTATTAAACAACTGGTTAAAAATATGCCAGTCTGGGACATGCATGAGTCTAAGCTTAAGTCAGCTTGGCACTCTGGTGTGGGAGGCCCTTCTGCATATGTGCTGCTTTTATTGGTCAATGAATAAAGAAGCTGTTTTGGGCCTACGCAGGACAGAATAGAGCTAGATGGAGAAAACTAAACTGAATGCTGGGAGAAAGAAGGTGGAGTCAGAGGAAAGGCTTGAGCTGCTAGGTGGAACCTTGCCGGTAGGCCACAAACCTCATAATAAAATATAATGGAAATGGGTCGATTTTAGATGTAAGAGCTAGCTAGCATGCTTAAGTGACTGGCCAAGAGGTGATTTAAATAATACAGTTTCTGAGTGATTATTTCGGGTCTGAGTAGCCTCCTACAAGAGCACTCAGCTGAGATTGTCCCACGCTCACTCCATCAGCTGCATTGCTGAAAGACAGCATATTTGAGGCCATCATTAATTAGGACCATAGTTTTCCTCTCAAATGCTTTGAACTCCAATGTCTCCATCTCTATAGACTTTATACTTAAAATATTTGTTTTGAATGACATTTAAAAAAATTCTCCCTAAAATCTAAGCAACATTAAATATGAGGAATATGTCATGCAAGTGAGAGGCCCTACACTATACACTTTAATTCTGTGTTCTTTACTGCTTATCACTGAAAGAAAGGGTCAAAATTGCATGACTTTGCCTTTCTTATAATTGAACTTTGATAGGAAAGGGAAATAATGTGATAAAAACACACAGCAGGATGAGCAAAGGTCATGACTGTGCCACACCTTTCAGTGTTTGCAGCACAGCAATCAGCATACTGCTTGTCAGCCCAGAGCAGGAGACAAGTAAGGTGTGCTCACTGTAGCTGTTTCCTATGTTTATATACAGAAAGGAGACAGAAAGGAAACAATGGTTCAACATTTCAGACAAAAGGAAGATCATAGGAAAAAGAAACTGAATGTGGCAGTGCATGGCTGCAATCCTAGCAAACAGGAGGTTGAAAAGGAGAATCCTTGTAAAGTCAAAGACAGTCTAGGACAGACGCTAAGTTCCAGGCTAGCCAGGGCTACATAATAAGACCCTGTCTCAAAAAGCAAGCAAGCAACAACAGTGGGAAAGGTCTACAAACTTTAGACAAAGGGAACTATCTATAGCAAGAATGCTTGGGCAGATTACATACTTAGGAAAACTATTTCCATCTCTCTTCCATCATAGACCATGTAAATTAAAGTTTAAATATGCCAAAAAAACTCCTAAAGGAAAATGTGAGAGAACAGACCCCCTTTACCGAAAAAGCATTAAATACAACCTGAAAGTCAAAAAATTTTTTTTGACAAGTCAAAATAACAAGACATTTAAATAAAAATAGCGTGACATAAAAGGACAATACAAAGAGCTCCTAAAATCAATGAGAAGATATTAGCTTGAGATTGAATGGATTATCAAGAAATAGCTACAAATACAATAGTTGTATAAAAAACCCGCTCTATACCTAAAAAAATAAAATAAAACCCCAAATACTGTGCCCTTATTAGGTTCAGAAAGATTTAAAATGATACATAATAGACCATGTTGGCCAGTGGGTACAAGTGGCCAATGTCACATTTGTTATTTGGAAAGGTATTAAAAATATACCCGCTGAGTGGTGGTGGTGCATGCCTTTAATCCAAATCCCAGCACTCAAGAGGCAGGTGGATCTCTGTGAGTTCGAGGCCAGCCTGGTCTACGGAGCGAGTTCCAGGACAGGCTCCACAGCTACACAGAGAAACCCTCTCTTGAAACCCCCCCCCCCCAAAAAGCACACCCTACACCCTTTTCTACGGGCACTCTGAGGGTGCTCAACACTAATCAGATGATCATGAAAGTATGTCAGCACAGTGCTGCTTTTAGTTAAAAGTCCAAATAGGATTTGGTGTATCTGGACCCATCACATTTAAGCATAGGGAAGAGTCACAGGTATGGACAAGAAGGGTGCAATATTTATGGTTAAAAGTTTCACAACAACAATGAAAAAGTCTCAATCACATACAAAACACTTCCAATCTCACTGTAGAACATTTTACTTAAGATAAAAAGAAAAAAGAAAATAAAAAATAAGTTATTGCCATCCAATCCTTCCTTCCAGAGATACAGACCTAATATTTATATATTATTCTACAATTTCATCTGCATACATACATTTTGGCAAGAGATGATATTTTAAATACAGCTGGATCATCTTTCTCCCTATATGTATTTTAAATTATGAAAATACAATTTTTATAAGTTTTTAAATAAACTTTTTAAGATTATGATTTGTGCCCTTTAATTTTTTAAAACTATGATTTATGAATTTTAAAAACTGCACAAATGTATATCCACTTAGGGAACAAGTTTTAGTTTGACGACACCATTCCCTACCATCTTTGTTTATTACTGTACAGAACATTTGTCTGTTCTTTTTTTCCTTGAACATGTGTATATATGTATGTATGTGTGTGGTATATGTATATAAACTTATGCATAAACATACATGTGCAGATACACATGCACATATAGGTATTTGCAGAGGCGAGAGGTTGATGCCAAGTGTCTTCCTCAATCATACTCCACCTTATTTAAGACATGGTCTCTCCTGAACTTCTAGTTCAGCAATTGAACTAGACTGGCTAGCCCCAAAGATCTTGCTCTCTCCATCTCCCAGTGCTGAGATTATAGGCATGAGGTGCCACGCCCATCTTTTTACAACAGTGCTAGGGATCACAACTCAGGTTTTCACACCCATGTGGCAGACACCTTATAGAATGAGCCATCTCCCCAAATACTCTCTATTGTACCTTTAAACAAATTTAAGATTCATTTTTATTTTTAAATATGAGTGCTTATATCTGCATGAGTGCAAATATCTGTAGAGGTCAGAAGAGGATGTCAAATCCCCTCGATCTGGAGTGCAGCCTTAAATGGGTACTGGGAACCAAACTCAGATCCTCTGTAAAAGTTGTGCACATTCTTTAAGCACTGAGCTATCTTTCTAGCACCAAACTTTGTAAGTGTGTGTGTCTTGTGCCTGTGTGTGATGAGAGATGAGGAAGGCTCACACCACAGCACAAATGTAGAGCAAGAAAACAACTTTTGGAGTCAGTTCTCTTTTACACGGGTGGGATCCAGGGATTGAACTCACATCACACAGCTTGTGTGTGTGAAGCTAACTCTTTACCTGCTGGTCCCAGTCATTGTATTGTATTTAGTTGCTTGCTTAACTATTCACATCTCTTCACTAATCTTATTTACTCCTCCTAGTATCATGACAAGACATGCTATGTATCCAGCAAATGTATCTGAACAGAGATTTACTAACAAGGAAAGGAGAGATGGAAAAACCTAAAAGTCAAATCAAGGGAAGGCAGTAAAAATTGCAAAAAGGAATCCCATCACCATATGTTCTATTCATTCATAGATGGATAGACAGATATTGAGATACACACACATATTCAAGCTGACCTCAAATGAAAAATGCTCCCAAGTGCTAGGTTTACAATCACGTGCCACCATATTCTGCTTTTATTTCATTAAAGAAAGTGCCTTTTGAAAAGACTGGACCAGAAGAACACTTTAAATCTTCTACTTCAGCTGCCTTTACTTCCTACTACTATCATAACTTTGTCATCACCAGACAGTAAAGCCAATGGCAAGCCTAGAATAACTCACTGTTGTGTTTGAAGATTCGAATGGTTGCTCCCGACAGCCTGGCTCCTAGAACCAGTGATGCATGGTTCAGTTCATCACTCAGAATCAGACAACCCTGCAAAGTCACAAGCACAGGAAGGTAAGACACTAACAAATGTCGCTGATAACAGTTTTCAAAGATGCTTTAGAAGTACATGCAGAATCCCAGCCTACATGCAATAGTTTCTTAATCCTGTCAATTTAAATATCCAATACAGAGCAACATGTTCTTAGCTACACCTAAAATCTAGCAGTCTTTAAAAGGTTCTGATATCTATGATTTGAGAGCATTTTGATGTATCTATCATCTTGTGAGAAATGGCAGCTGTAGAAATAGTTCTTTTCCCTTCACTATTAACATATCTCAGTTCAGGGAAGAACCCATTTATAAACTCCAAAAATCACATAGTATGAAGGCTGTGATCTAGCCTCTTAAAGTCCCCAAATATACTTTAACACATAAATGAAGGAGAGAAAAAAGCCTGACATTCTTGGTGGCTTATTTCTTACCCTTCCATCTCTCATAGGATCCTGCTAAAACAAAAAAAACAAAACAAAAACAAGTTTTTGTCTTTCAAAATTGGCCTCAACAGGGGCTGAGAGTATAAGGCTCAGTGGTAGAGAACATTTGCCTGGCATGTACAAGGCCCTGGGTTGGATCCTTGACATTATAACAAACAAACAGATGAATGAGTAAATAAATAAGCAAATTTTCATATGAAAATCATCTCAAAATACACTAATGGCCCAAACAAAAACAACTTAAGCAATAAAAAATTATATTCATAGCTGGGAATAGAGATGCATGCCTTTAATTCCAACACTCAGGAGGCAGAGGCAGACCTATCTCTGAGTTTGAGGCCATCCTGGTCTACATAGTAAGATCCAGGACAGCTAGGGCTACACAGAAAAACTTTGTCTCAAAAAACCTAGAAAAATAAAAACATAAAAAGGTACTAATGTTGGGTTATTACACAAATAATAAGATATTCAGGAGTCCATACTGATATAGAGGAGAAGCAACAACTCTTCCACAAAACTCTACGAATAAATAAAGAAGGAATGAGAAAATTCACTCTAAGAATACCAAAGCAATTGACTGTCACTGGCAATGCATAGTCACACTAAAATTAGTGTATGAGAGTTTAAAAAAAAATACCAGTTACATAGCCCCAAAGTTTCTCTATCATGGTAATTGGTAATTACAAAGAGAATAGTAAGAAGTTACAGTAGAAAGTCTTGTTTGATATCTTAACCAAGGAGCCACATTTATTATATCGCTAGTAACATACACTGGCACCATGTATCTTATGCAACAGCCTGAGGTCAATGTCACTTCTGTAGTCTCCTTCTCCATAACATATGCCATCAGTTGATCACTCAAGCTGAGAGATGTTATACAAAATAAGGGACAGCCAGCACATGGGAGTCAGGAAGCACACTAGAAAAGACTAGGAGCTACAGCTAAATGAAGATGGCGCCTCAATGGAAGCCAGGGGTAGAGACTGGAAACGATTAACTGCAGATATGAACTAGGTTTTGCATTCGTCAGTGTACTGTGTTAACCTCTGAGCTTTGGGAGATGCTGCACTGGAAAGATGCTATAAAGGGAAGCTGGGTGAAGGTCATGGAGGGACTCCATGTCCTCTGCAGCTCTTCTCTGAGTCTAATTGAAATCACTGGGAGAAGAGCGGTAGGACTGCTCTTTTGCAAGCCTGTACTTAGCTTGTAAGGCTCTAGTCTAGTGGACTTTAAAAGCATTCTCCCAATTCCCTTCTCTTTCCAGATAATTTATTTTTCAGGCAAAATTTGCAAAATTGTTTTTCAGACCTTTTAGTTAACATTTTTTAGGTTATCAATCTGACTTTTTTTCTTGTAGTCTACTGTGAGGTTCTAGTATATAATTGGTTCAAAAATAAAATGAATATGAAATATTAGGAGGTGACATCTAAGTGCATATGCAGTTTGTTAAGAGATTTTAAGACATTATTTTGTTATAACACATGAAATAGGTATTATATCACCTTCAATTTACAAAGGAAAATCATTCTTATCTAAGCACAGGCACAAGAGACTCAACACAAAACTCCACATTTAGATCATGTGTCCTACCAGCCTTTAAGATGAACAATCAAGCAACTTAGAGAGATTCAGGATCGAATTAAAAGAATTACCATCCTTAAGAGATCAAGCAATAGTTACTACAATTTCAAATACGATTTGGAAGACTAATCTGGAAGGTAGCTCCTTTCATGTTAGTACAGGAGAAATCTAAGTCTAAATGATGATTTACTAGCGTTCATGAGTATATGGGAAGATGCAAAGTGAAGTCACTTAACCTTCTAGTGTCAAAACCCTAAGAAAATCCAGATCAGAATTTCAGGTTTATGCTGCCAAAACACATTGTAACCAATGGAGAGAACACACTCTATGTCTTTAAAAGAACTTGTCCATGCCGTACGAGCTGCTGAACACACTGTATCCTAAGACTTCCTTCTTATTCTTTAAGTCCACAGAATGTACAAAGAAGTCGTTTCTTTCATTCCTGCCTCCTCTCTTATTATCCTGATGCATCTAGTTAGAGTTGGCCGTTGTGTTTATTTCTCAGAGAACCAGCTTCAGTTCATTGCTTCCCTGAAATTCACTGATTCTGTATCAGTTGCTATTGTCTATTTCCTGTTTACTTAGTTGGGCATAGTTTGCTCTTATTCTGAAATTTTAATTTTTGATTTATCTTATGTGTGTGAGAATTTGGTCCACATGTATGTATCTGTACCACAGGCATGCCTGCTGCCTGCGGAGTCAGTCAGTTGAGTACATTAGACCCCTGGAACTGGAGTCAGGAGTTGATGTGGGAAACCATGTAAGTGCTGGGAGTCAAACAGAAGCCAGCAAGTACTCTTAACCACTGAACCCTCTCTAGCCCTCTTTCTATGATTTCTTAAGATAGAAAAGCTTTTCTTTCTTTCCTTTTCCCCCTGAAAACAGCATTTAAAATAAACTAAGTATGTAACTCAGGAGGAAGGCACATATACTCAAGTACATTTAGTGTTACATAGTCTACATGTATAGTGCTTTATTGATTTGTGATGTTACATTTCATTGACCTTTTTTATTTTGCCTTGTTTTTTAGTTTTGATTTAACTCAAAATCTGTGTGATTTGATTAAACTGTACTGTGGCCAAAGAACATACTTTAATAATTTTAGTATTTTCAAACATATTAAAGCTTACTTAAACCCCAAAGTACAATGTACTTATTCTGGTAAATACTCTGCTGTTGTTGGGAAGTGTTTGGTAGGCGTCTAGAAGGTTAGTAAGCTGAAACTGTTTTGCCAGTGTTCTGTACCCATGCTGATTCTTGTTGATACCATTCTCTGTTGGTACTCATTGCTAACGACTAACTGTAGCTCTGTTTCTCTACCCTCCAGTGAGTTTCACCAGCTTCTGCTTCAGCTTCCTAACACATCTTGATTAAACAACTCTTTTGCATTATAGCATATTCTTCATCTTTACAATATTCCTTGGTATGAAATCTACAACTTTTTCATCTTTTTTTTTTCCCCTTGAAGGTGAAAGATCAAACCAGGACCATGTACATGCTAAGCAAGCATTCAACCACTAAGCTATATCCCAGACATTATTTATTTCTGACACAGCCCCCACTTTGAGATGTTGATCTCAAATCCCTCTTGCTTCAGCCCCCCCCCAAGTGGCAAAGACAGTAGGTACATGCTACTGTGCTATCTTCTTCTTCTTACTTTTAATGCTCCTATCTTTGCATTTCAAATAGGTTCATTTAATATTAGGAAATTCAATAGTTTGATCTCATCTGAGAAGGTCTGTGTACTTCAATGTACAAACAAACCAGTTACATTTCTGTGATATCAATACAACTGGGTTTAAATCTCTTGCATTGCAATTTGTTTACTGTTTGTTCCATCTGTTCCTTAGAGAATCAGTTATAGCTGAATTAGAGTCACACTAACTATTTACAAAGGAAACCTTGAGGACCAGTAAAGTAATGTGACATGTTCACAGTCATGGATAAGTTTGACCGTGTAATCAACAGACGAGCAAAACCCAAGTCCGAGGCAATCCACTGTGTCTATCAATGTGCCTAAACATTCATGCTAAGATGTAAAACAAACAAAGGAGAAAACAACCTCAAGGGTTGAGCTGACAGTGCTGGGTAGCAACATTTAGAAAGCATTTTACCTTTCCTTACTTTAGCTGTAACAAGTTCAACTACAGAATGGACATGCAGAGATACAGGCACACACATTACATTTACATAAAATTTACCTATATATCAAGGTAAATGCATTTTCTTTCTGTTTGTTTTTTGTTTTGTTTCGTTTTTTTTTTTTTTCAAGATAAAATTTCTCTGTAGCTTTGGAGCCTGTCCTGGAACTCACTCTGTAGACCAGGCTGGCCTTGAACTCACAGAGATCCACCTGCCTCTGCCTCTGAGTGCTGGGATTAAAGGCATGCGCCACATTGCCAGGTACATTTTCTTAATTTTATACTTAGGTAAAACTATTAACTTTCTGAATTAAACCTTTCTTTCATAATTTTAATCTTTTGGCATTTATTTTCATCAGAATTCTTTCAAAATTGTACAGGAAGAGGGATGGACCACGGGTTCTAGGAGGAAAACTTCAACTGGTACTGGTTCTGCAAGATATACTTGCCAAAAAAATCTGTGATGGAGTATCTATCATTGTTAACTGTGCTTAGCCTAATGTTAATAATAGGGCAACTGTATCTGGATGTGTTTATCAAAACAAAAGAACATATGTATAAGAGAACTGCCACAAATGATGCCATCTTACTTTGCCAACAAGAGCAGGAATGTTCATTGAATTTGTGGCAAATCCCATGCCATAGGTCATAGCAGCTTCCACGCCCAAGAACCTTGCTACCAGTTTCTCTAGTTCTTCATGCTTGTCCAGGTTTCCTGTATGAAGAAGTCAATTAATGAAATCAGTATCATACTCAATTTTAAAATTACTAATTTATTAAGAGAAAACTGGACCAGCAAGATGGATTAGTGTGTACACTTGCTGCCAAGCCTGACCACCTGAGCTCAATCCCTGGAACAAACATGGTATATGGGAGAACCAACTCCTGAGAGTTGTTCTCTGACCTATACCACACATACGCATGCATGCACACAAATAAAATCAAAATATTTTTATCAGGGTGATAGTGGTGCACGCCAGAGGCAGGCAGATCTCTGTAGGTTCAAGGCCAGCCTGGTCTACAAAGTGAGTTCCAAGATAGCTAGAGCTGTTACCCAGAGAGACCCTATCTCAATAAAAGACAAACAAACAAAAAACAAACCTATAAAGAAAAAATAAAAATAAATCACTCCACGTGTTGTAACATTTTCCAACTAAGTTCATCAAGAAGCTGACACTATAAACAGCAACAGCTGTAAACACACAACAGTTGATACATTCAGACTGAGCAGTTCTGGAGAAAAAGGAAGACTATTAACAATGTTTTCATGTTCTAGTCTCAGGTCTAAGATCTAATAAGTTTGTGTCTACATTTTTGAAGTCACCAGTCATGCAAAACAGTGTTACTGGCCTATTGGAAAGAGAGAACACGCAGAGGATAAGGAGCTAGACAGCAGAAGTATCAGCAGTGCTGCTGGCCAGCTGAGGTACCAGCTGTGCCCATTGCACCATCCATCCTCAGGGACAATGGCTCACTTGAAACCACATGGAGCACACCTATTCTCACTTTCAAATGATTGTTAAGTTTATACTATGACAACTACAGTGGCTTTTGAATCTCTAATGACTGATTTGCACAAAGAATCAAGACTGAAAAAAAAGAGATTGTTGATCTTGAATGCTATGCTATCATTAAGACTTTAACAAGTATTCATTGGCTGAGCACCACCAATAATAATCCCTTATCTATCTCAAGATGTTGTTATAAAGATCAAGATAACATGTTGGTACTTTACAAAATTCACAGTGCCATAAAGATACACAGTGCTCACTGTACCTGATCAGTGTGTAGCTCTCTCGCCCAAACCACTGACCTGTGATTTCTCAAGCTTCAGCTACAAAACTTACTTTAAAGGTGGAACTTAAAATATTATATTAAGTGAGGTGGTGATGGCACACGCCTCTAATCCCAGCACTTAGAAGATAGATAGGTTGATCTCTGAGTTCAAGGCCAGTCTGGTTTACAGACTTTCAGGACAGCCAGAGCCACATAGAGAAACCCTGCCTTGAAAAACCAAAACCAAAACAAAAAAATTATATTGATATTTCTGTTGAAAAGTAACACACACAACTCCATTTATGAATACTTGTAATTCTTACCACAATTAGTGAAACATGAGAAATACAAGCATGGGTAATGTAAAAGGGTAAACTGTTTCACTAAAAAGATATTCTGAGTGGCTGAGAAGGCAGCTCTGTGATGGGACAGATGCACAGCATGTCCAAAGACTCAGACTCCGGAACCAAAACAAGACAAGATAAAACTCTAACGTATTTCCCTCAGAATACAGCCACTTTGGAAAGTCTTCACAAAAATAATCAAGATAAAATAAGGTCCTGGACAAAGAGACATATACAGAAGAGGCACAGAAGATGACAATGTCTGACTGTGTGGAAGACAGCCATGAGATGAGACCACAGGCTAGGGAACACTAAGGTGCTGTCAGAGTTAGTTTGGCCTTGCCAACGCCTTGATCTCATATTTCTAGCCTCCACAATTCCCTATTTCTCATTCTTTATTATAGTAGTCCTAGGAAGCCAACAGAGCTGGGAACTTTGAGACAGATAAGGTTAAATCTATGTCCTTACCACGTAGATGATGAGTTGGTGAGAGAGGAGTACACTCACTGCATGAACTCCAGAGAGGTTTAAAGTGAGAGGCAGCAACAATCAAGGCAGGAAATGGTTAAGGCTGGGCTACAAACATATATAAAACACACAAAGCCAGGAATAGCAGAACACATCTGTAATCTCAGGACTTGTAGGAGGATCTCAAATTCAAGACTAGCCTGGGCATATAGCTGCAAGACTAAGCAAATCTTACCCCCTTCCTCTTAATACCAAGCCCCCAAAACCATGAAATCCCACCACTGATGGAACTATAATAGTGTAGCTGCCCTGGGAAGCAGCTCAAAACGCTAATCATAAGTTACCATGTGATCTAGCAATACCACACCTAAGTATATACCCAAGAGAAATGAAAACATTATTTTACAAATATATTCTTAAAGCAAAAAAGAAATAAACCAAATGTCCAGCAGAGACAAATATGATGTGGTTGGTATACACACCCAATGGGTTGTTACTTAGTCACAAAGTAGAATGGCATGCTGATGCAGTCCATGAAGTACTAATGCATATTACACATAGGCAATTTTGTGGATATACGCTAAGTGAAAGAAGCCACACATGAAAGGCCACAATGTTACGTGAGTCCATGTATATGAAATGTCCAAAGGAGGCAAATAAAGACTGCAGACCACTAGCTGCCAGTGATTGCTAGGGGGTCAGGCAGCTCTACTAGAGGGAATGAAAATATTCTAAAACTTAAACTGTAGTGACAATTGTCATCTCTGGAAACATCCTAAAAGAAGTATACTCTTCAAATGGAAAAAATAATACATCATACAAATTTTTTTTTTTTTCTGAAACAGGGTTTTGCTGTAGCTTTGCAGCCTGTCCTGGAACTAGTTCTTGTAGACCAGTCTGGCCTTGAACTCAAAGAGATCCGTCTGCCTCTGCCTTCTGAGTGCTAAGATTAAAGGCATGCACCACCATCACCTGGCCAATATAAATTATATCTTAAAAAAGCTTTTAAGACAAGAGACAAGGGGGGCTGGAGAGGTGGCTCAGTGGTTAAGAGCATTGCCTGCTCTTCCAAAGGTCCTGAGTTCAATTCCCGGCAACCACATGGTGGCTCACAACCATCTGTAATGAGGTCTGGCCTGCAGACATACACACAGACAGAATATTGCATACATAATAAATAAATAAATATTAAAAAAAAAGACAAGAGACAAAAAGTAATGCACTGTTCCTTCTAAGTCCAGCACAAGCAACCCAGTAATTCTGCCTTCTTTCACCCACACAGTAAAAGAACATTATTTAGAACTTCTGGGCTTCAGATACTGAAGTGAATCTAGGTACTGCCAGGCTGTAAATGGTGAGGAAGGGCAAGTTTATAGACAGATCTGCCTACTCAATTTCTCAGTAGAAAAAAGAGAGAGAGAGAGAGAGAGAGAGAGAGAGAGAGAGGAAGACAGAAAACAGGAAAGGAAAACAATTAGGAGATAAATACTAAGAGTCTGCACATATTTTTCACAAGCAATAACTAAGAAAATGTTCAGGAGATTATCACGAAAACACAGAGTATGAGTCTTCAATTTATAAGGATCCACAAAGCAGCAAAATAGCACAGCTTGTGAGGGAGATTCATAACAAGGTAAAACTGGAATTTCTTGATACACTCAAAAGAAATGCGGTCTTAAAAACTAGGGGAAAAAATCTCAAAAAAAAAAGGAGAAAAAATGTTTTCTCATATGTAGACTCTAAATTTAAACAAACTATTATATGAAAGCACAATAGGGGCTTTAGGGGAAAGGAGGGGCTGGAAGGAGTTGGGGTAAAACAAGAATGCTATTGGGGGTACAAACATGAACAATGTAAAAGCACATGTGTGCATGTATGTATGTATGTATTGAAATGTAAGAATGATACCCATATTTTTGCATGTTAACTAAAAATATTAAATCTTTTAAGGTGTCCAAGAATATGCAAAACAAACAGAGGCCCAGAAAAACAACAGCAGAATCCATTTCTGCAGGAAGGAACTGCATGGCTAAACCACATGCAGCGTGTAGATTTTTCACTGCATGCCTTTGGGTACTTTGGGAATTACTAAGCATGTTTATGTATTACTTATCCCCATCAAAGGTTTCTAAACAACTAAGTCTTTCTACTTAGAAATCTGGAGAGAAGGAATTACACAAAAATGCTATGAACCATAATAGCATCATACTTGACCGGCCCCACTCTTCACAAGATATTTTCAACCTTGTATATGGTAATGCCAGAATGACTAGCTGAGCAATATATCACATAAAAGACAGTTTCTGATACCATATTTCAATTCCCTGCACACCCAGGAGGGCACTAGACAATGAGCTCCACCAATGAGGGATCTGAGAGGAAGGAACAGGGAATAAGGATTCCAAATGGATATAGAAACAAAATTCCTAAAACGGCTCCTCTCACCCCAATAAAGAAATACCAGAATGCTACAAGAGCTAGTTCCAGGACAGGCTCCAAAGCTACAAAGAAACCCTGTCTCAAAAACCAGGAAAAAAAAAGAAAAGGAAAGAAAAGAAAAGAAAAGAAATACCAGAATGTAATTGTAAAACAGTCCTGAGAGCAATTGGTTCAGACTAAAGCAGGAGACAGAGTACACAGAGAACTACGGTAAAAAGAACATGCTTCTCAAACCTCCTCAGCAGTGATATTTTGTTTGTGTTTTAACAAATAAAGCTTGCCTGAAGATCAGAGTGCAGAGCTAAGTCACTAGAAGCCAGGCAGTGGTGGCACACACCTCTAGTCTCAGGACTTGGGGGACAGACAGATCTCTGTTAGTTTAGGGCAACCCTGGGCTACCTGAAATTGATTCAGTCTCGAAGAGAAAAAGAGCTCACACAAAGGTGATCCCTGTACTTGGGAGTCAGGTGGAGACAGGAGTGATATGGCTGGACGGAGAGAGGAAGATAAGGTGGGAGGAGACGGGCTCAATGCAGTCTGAGGATGCAGTCTGAACATTGGTAGAGGTAAGAATGCTCTAGTGGCTGGCTGCTCTGCTTCTCTGATCTTCAGCATTAACCCTTATATCTGACTCTGGGTTTTTATTATTAATATCAATAAGAATTGTGCTACACTTTGAGGCTCCTCCAGCACTGGAGACTCAGTGGGTAACAGCATTGGGTTGGTGGTACACTCCTTTAATCCCTGTACTCAGAAGGCAGATGCAGGCAGATCTCTGAGTTCAAGGCCAACCTGGTCCTATAGAGCACATTCCAGGACAGTCAAAGCTACAGAAATCCTGTCTTAAAACAAAGCAACAACAGCAACAACAACAACAACAAAGAGCACTGGCTGCTCTTCCAGAGGACCTGGGTTCAAGTCTAAGCACTGACATGGCAGCTCACAGCTGTCTATAACTACAGTTCAAGGGATCTGATAGCCTCATGCAGACACACATGCAGGCCAAACACCAATGCACATAAAATCAAAATTTTTAAAAGATGGTTAATCTTTCACATTTTACAGATTTGTAACAACAGTTTATATTTACTGAGTATCTACTTCTGTTTTACATGAATTAACTTACTTACTTCTCGGAACACATCTATGGATCATCAGCCCTAGCTTGCCAGCATGAAAGCTCATTGGTTCTGAGAGTTCCTATGCAATAAGCGGCACTTCTAAGAGTTACAAAACAATAAAATCCAACAAAGTCATAAAAGAAACAAATACAAAACTTCACTATGGACATTATGTATATGCAACACACTGGGGTCCATCTCAAAATGTGTTGCAAATATTAATATTATCCACCACTTGAGGAAAAGAAAGTGTGTATGTGACCTGACTCACCCTGAGCTCATACTTACCAATCTCTTGGCGAGTGCTACACACTCCAGCTCCATACTCCTTGAGAACTTCAGCAGCTGCTTCCTGACATGATCCAGTGTTCCTCGCAAATCCAAGATAGTTGTAGGAACCCATGTTTATAACACCTTTAATTATATTCCCTGTGTACCTGTGTTTCAATAGTATAAAACTTAATGATACTCACAGCATGCCTAATATTTAAGGGTGACATAATACACTGGTAACACAAAAGCACTATACAGAGAAATAGAGAAATATGCTATCTGTATAAAAGGAGCACAGACTCATAACTAACAGGGGAGAAGAAAGGTACAACAAAATCTAACAAGCACAGGCATGAAATTGTCAAAGAATAAAAGTTATCTTTAAAAAATGTTATTTTATTAACAGTGAAAATTATATAAAGTGTGATAGCCAACATTGGCTTAGAACACTCTTATAAACTAGCCTTCATTCAATAATTTCTTCTGGAGGGCAATTTGGTACTACTTATTCACAGAAAATTATATATGTTTTTGATTCAGCAATTCTACATGTAAGCACGCACACACAAGGATCCTTTAGGAGCCACTGTCCTCCCACAGGCCCAGGGATCGGGGATGTTCCCCCTATGATGAAAACTCAGTTGGTAAGGACGTCATGGTCCAGATGACTGACGGTAGAAGCAAAGTGCTGAGCCTTTAAGTGCCTGGGATCTGGGACTGACTAGCATAAGATGGCTAGGGATGGCACACCAACACTGTGGAATACTATTAGTCACTACAAACAATGAACTTATAGTGAACATACACATAGGCAAGATGTTGCCAGTATGTTAGCAAAAAAAAAAATCATAACATACGATCCCATTTTTGTGTATTAAAAAGTGAGTTTGAGGGCTGGAGAGATGGCTCAGAGCTTAAGAGCACTGGCTGCTCTTCCAGAGGTCCTGAGTTCAATTCTCAGCAACCATATGGTGGTTCACAGCCATCTATAATGAGATCTGGTGCCTTCTTCTGGACTACATGCAGGCAGAATACTATATACATAATAAATAAATTTTAAAAAAAAGTGGGTTTGACACCAAGCTGGTCTACAAAGTTTCAGGACAGCCATAGCTACATAATAAGATCCTGTTTCAAAAAATAAGCAATGCTGGGCAGTGGTGGTAGTGGCACACACCTTTAATCCCAGCACTTAGGAGGCAGGGACAGGTGAATGCCTGAGTTTGAGGCCAACCTCTTCTATTTGCAGGACAGCCAGGGCTACACGGAGAAACCTTGTCTCAAAAAAACCAAAACAGAACAAACAACAACAAAAAGACAAAAGAACCAAATGGAACAGAAAAAGAACCTTAAGTTCAATGAGGGCTGTAGTGTGTGTAGCTCACTGGTGCAGCACTTGACCAGCATCCCGAAGAGTCTGGGTTTAAACTCCTGCACTCCCTCCAAACAGTATTCCAAGAACAAGGACAGTATTGCCAGGAAAGTAATTATATTGTATCTTCAGCTGCTGCTTTTGCTTTGAGAGAATACCCAAATTCCTTTGTTGGTAAGAAATGATTTCTAAAATGACTCACTTGAACGACCAGTTGTAGTCATGGGACTGTCTCTCCATGATATCCACCCTGGCTCCCGGCACACTACAAATAGGTCGGTTCCAGTTGTCTCTTATCCTCATGTAGAGGTTTCTTGTATAGAAGTTTTCAAAATCCTGATACAATGACACAAAGTCCTGCCAACAAATAGGGAAACAGTAAAAATTTAACTGATTTACTTAAAGAAAAGTCTCACGATTTTTCTTTTCATATCTCAGGAGTACATATTTAATTAACTGACATATCAAAAATACATTTGGAAAGCATTGATTCTATGTTTATTTCAAGTCTTTTTGATCAGGTAAAAGTCACTTAGTGTTGGTGTTTGGCCTATTATTTCATGATTTCAAATAACTAAAGCACATGAATGTAGAACTAACTGCTTCAAAGTTGGACCCACAGAAATAAAACCCAGTCATATAATTCTGCCATTGAATAGTTTCCCTTCCTAGCAAACTGGAAAAAACCGCCCTCCCACGTGCTTCACCCACAATAAAGCAGGGAAGATGCCAGAAAAGCGTTTATAATCCCAGCTGGAAAGGAGAAAAACACAAAAACCCTTCTAAGATTAAGATTTTTAATCCTCTGCATATGTTCAAGGATCAAAATCAAACCCATCCACACCAAAAGATTTAAAAAAAAAAACCAAAACCCACTAACATATTCAGTAGAGTAAGTCTTTGGTCTTGGATTTTCCCTATGAGACAGGAGTTAAGAATGTACATTCTGGGCTGGAGAGATGGCTTGTTCCAGCACCCACATTAGGCAGCTCACAACCACCTGTAACCCCGGCTTCAGGGGATCCAAGCCTCTGTACTGGCATGCACATACCTACACATAGCACACATATACACAGAACTCAAAACGAAATGAACAAATAATCCTCTAGAGGCAGTGGCACATAGATTTCTGAGTTTGAGCAACAAGTTCCAGGACAACCAGAGCTACACATGAGACCCTATCTGAAAACAAACAAGTACATTCTGAAAATGGACTCCCTACCCCATAAAATTTAGTCTCCCTTTTCTTTAAGAGTAAACTAGAACTTAAGTCTGTAAAAAGGTAAGTTACAAGAAAAAAATTAAGTTACGATAGAGCCAAAATGAATGCACAGTGTTATTCCCCTGTCAGTATGAACCTTTCCTGAATCCATGATCAGTTCAACTCTCCAAGTTAAAGGGTCAACCACACAGAAAGAAGGCAGAAGTGTGCTTTATTGTAATCAGCTCATCAGTGAGCTTGTAGCCATCAGGTCTGGGCTTGTTGTCAAACTACATTAATCTGTTAAGTAAACCAATCAAAAACATTTTTTTAAACCATATGCTTCACATTAAAAAGATTCTATACAAATTCTTAAATAATCTTTCATCGACTTGGACTCTCAAGTGCCTAAGACTTAGCTGAGCCTCTGAGTAAATATCATCTCTTCAGACAGCTCAGGAGAATTCTTTGAACGTGAAGAACAGACCAGCTCTCTCATAATTCCTTCTAATAATCACCTTTTCCTTAAGGCAAAATAAACCACCATGCATCCTACCACCTCTATCACTGTTCTAAGAAAATAAAGAATCCTGGGGCTGGAGAGATGGCTTAGCAGTTTAAAGCATTTGATGATTTTGCAAGGATCCGAGGTAGTTCCCAGCAGTTACTGTAACAGTAATTGGAGTCTGTAACTCCAATTCTAGGAGCTCCAACGCCCTCTGAACATGGGTCAAAGACAGTTGCAGGAAAAGGACTCATACATATTTAAAAATATATAATAATAAAAATAATAATAACAACAACAATAATGTGTCTGTCACAACTGGAAGGTAATCATTTAATAAACCTGTTCCCTTTCATAGTCTCCCCTTCCATCAAGAATACCAGCTAAGCAAAAGTAGGGATAGAGATACTCAAATTCTAATTATTTTATTTTGACTATTATTCACCATGTATTTATTTCCAAAAGCATGTATATATGCATGGATATGAGAGCACGCACACATGCATACACAGTAGTTTTCATTTTCAAACTGACTAGAGTAACAGCATGTTTTGTTGCTTTGGAGACAGGTCTCAAATTCATCATGTAGCCAAGGATGACTTTGGCTGTCTCCCTCCGAAGTGCTGAGATAACAGTATGCCCATGTGGTGGTGGGAGGCAATCCCTCTATTATTAACTGAGCTATGTACATTCAAGTCCCTAGCCTCTGCTAGTAAAACCACAGTACTGATCATCTCGGCTCACTCTTATTAACTATTAGTGTGTATACATGCATGTGTTCATATATGTATTGTGGATATGCATGCCACAGCATGTATGGAGGCCAGAAGACAGCTTCTTGAAGTTGGTTCTCTCCAAACACCTTAATATGAATTCTCTGGATCTAATTTAGGTCACTAGGCTTGCAAGACAAGTGCTTTCCACACTGAGCCATCTCACCAGCCCTAATAGACACAAGTATTTACATGTTTTTTTGTCCGATGTAAACATTAAATTAAAGAGGGCACTGTGTCTTGCATATTTGAAGATCCTTTTTTAACTCTAATCAGCTATTTTAAACCGTTTTTTCAACTGTTTTCTAAACATCACACATTAATGTTCAAGTATGAACTCCAAATACTTTAAGCAACTGTTTTCTCACAGGCAAATTTTTTTTTAAATATTTATTTTATTATTATATATACAACATTCTGTCTGTATGTATTCTTGCTGGTCAGAAGAGGGCACCAGACCTCATTACAGATGGTTGTGAGCCACCATGTGGTTGCTGGGAATTGAACTCAGGACCTTCGGAAGAGCAGGCAATGCTTTTAACCACTGAGCCATCTCGCCAGCCCTCACAGGCAAATTTTTATTAGCAACAAAAAGGTATGTTTTAAATATATCAACGTGGAAAAGGCAAGACAATCCCTCTGAGGCTGGTTCAGATACCAGAAGGGTAACCAAAAGCCAAGACAGGAAAAGGGCTGCAGGCTAGAGCATGGCAGCGCTTCACTGGATAGAGTAAGGGGTGTCAGGTCCAATAGCAGTGGGCACAACGGCAGCAGAGGGCCTTACGCCAAATTTAGTTTTTCTTGACCCCCTACCTAGTTCTAAGGTGGCAGCTTTAGTGGCAGTTAAATACGGAAGCAGATCTAAGGACAGCTAACTAGATTCCATGAAGCTTAGCCCAGAAGAGAAATTCCTATGGAGCACCTCAATTCCAGACAATCAGAGTGTCTATTATCTGAAAAATCTTATACCTTTGATATTCTAGGACTAAAGTTAAAGTAGGGGACTTGGTTCAGCAAGATGGCTTAGTAGGTAAAGGCACCTGCTGCGAAGCCTGACCACCTCAGAACTTACATGGAAGGGGGAAGTGACTCCTGCATGTTTT